AGTCTTACCTTTATGCGGGAAATATGCTTAAACGTAAATTATACATGTCGGATGTATTTAATTATACGGTAGGATGGAAGACAAGTGGCCTCCAAAAATATCTGCGAGACCCATGTAGCGAACGAAATGAGTAGAGTCTAAAAGTCCCTTAATCAGCAGGGCTGATTTCAGGTACAACAGAACACGAAAGGTCTTCACATGCGGCAATCAATAGCGTCTTTCACATTCTAGAGAACTGGCATGACGCCAACGATCTACCAAAGTTACTTGCGGAAGCTTCCGGTCTCACGTCGGTAAGGAAGTAATGCCATTTTCGAGCAAAGTAAGGTATACAGTTGTGCCACGCGTGGTCACATTGCGATTCGTAGGCTGAAAGCTTCTGCGTAACCATATCAACTTCGAACGGTATCTGAAAGTCTGTTAGGTATTCATCTATCAGGTGGTTCGGAATGTGTCTGCCCAAAATTTTGCAATGTCCAGTTTTTCTTCGTGAGTTTGGGATTTCATGGAGTTGCTGCTAGGGACATACCACTCCCATGCGCATAACTTATCCGTCTCCTTCTTCTTGGCCTATTTAACTATATAATAATTGATATACGAGATGGGATCAGGCTACTATGCTACTGAAGCATATCGGAACCTGTGTCAATTAATTGTTCTTGAACCCTTTTTGAGCAACTGGCTGCAGACTTCGTTCCGACGCTTCGAAGCCGAATAAACGAGTGTGCAGATGAGTTTCGATTCGACCAATATCGTTAAATCATTGAATTTTGGGCAGGTACTTTCCAAACACCCGAAGGGCTGTTTTCTGGGTGTATGCTCTATCAGTTGTAGCTTATAGATGCAACGCTACCGCGAAACGTGCTTATCTTTCAGCGAAAACAGGATATTCAAAGAAATAATTAAGTTCACAAATTTGCAGACAGGAGTTATGGAAGCCTGAAATCGAAGCAACAACAGCATTCGGACATGGGATCTCATTCAACGACGTGATTCTTTCTTTTTTGACTACATCACTGACATGGTTCACTCACTATTCTACATTTTTTATATTAAGAATAGTTTGCTAATTAAGATGAATTTCGCTTATGAGGTTTGAATCAATCAGAACATGTGGAATTTTTCAGTTGAGAAGGCAAAAGGTGGGGAACGGGCGTTAGGAACGATTCTGGGTAATCGATTCGCCGCACGCGGCTGTCGCGGACCACTCATCGCCGTTATTACAGCTCTGGCTTTCTTTATACCTCAATCGATATGCGATCATTATTTTATGCACAATTCTACTATTAGTACTTTTGTTCTTGCATTTCTTACTTACTGCTGCACCCTGATACATTCTTTCGCGCGCGACGCCTCTCTCACCGCGACACGACCATTTCGTTCCTAATGCACCACACCCCAAAAGGTGGCCATCTTAAAGGTTGAAGTGGGTACAGGTAAGAATCGATCGCTCTGTTTACTATGAGGGGAATCTCCATGCTTGGAAGAAACCGCTATCCAAAAGATGGGTCATTAGGTCCAGAACTTATGAAGTTGATGAGTATAAAAAATGTCCGGGAGGGTCTCAGATTTCACTGAAGACCAGTAAAGAGACTTGATTTCACCAATACACGTGATCCTCAACAAAACAGTAAGTAACGAATTACAGCGTTTATCTTCATGTAAACCATAAACATATCAGAGGCACAACCGAAAACCACACAAACCGCGTCAATGGTGCACTTCTAGCATCGGAAATATCTATTGTACATAAGTAAAGACTAAGTAAAAATTTCCAGCAAATTGCTGACTATATACATAGAAATCAATTATTTAAATTATTTTTCGACAATATATTGCCAAAGTAGGAAAATTTTCATGAACCCGTAAAGATAGAAGAGATTCTCAATAACACTTTCGTTAATATCAATCTCTATCAGACATCATCAACTTCATCGCCACGGTGGGCTCTAATATGTGCCTCTGTAACCCTGAATAGTCATGGTAAAGCTTTAGAGAAGGTGTTGAGATCGTTTCGGAAAGCTTGGAGAAGTCGTTGTGGAGTGTGTTCGAGGGGGGTAAGCAATAGAAGAAATATGCAACGTGAAGATTCTTGGTAGGACCTAGGATTTGCTGCCGTCGAGATCAGACGACGTCAGTTGTAGCGGGTGTTGTGGCAGCTTCAATCGGTGTTGGCTGACTTGGAGGTCGATCTGAGGATTTGCGAAGTGTCGCCGCACGAACGCCGGTCGTGCTCATCGCACGGGTACGAACCTAAAAACACTATGTCAGATTGCTAACACTTGCTAACATTCAAGTACTGTGTAAATATATGGTCAGTGACGGTTGAGTTTAATTGACACAGGTAAATCTCAGCAGAAAAAATTAGTTTGGGTTTCGTGGGTGCCCAACATTTCAAGTGGGTGCCCAGCTTGAAGAGTCAGATTTTTGGACGTTGATCAGCCCGTCCCACTTTGGGATATGTCTCCAGATTCGACTTCCATTCAGAATCAAAGTGGCGTTTGTATGCGTATCTGGCTTGGCTAGAGCCTGAGGAAAGCGACCTGCAGCGGCCAGCTGATGTCCCAATTGGTGTTTTCATCCCCACTGACAAGTCTGATATTAATTCACCGGAGTTGGGAGCCTCAAGGTCATCGATCCGGTATTGAATCCCACCATCATGCGTGTGATAACGCACCATTTGGCATTACTCCCCTCCCGCTCTGCCCACTCGCACTCCCACAATCTCGTCATCCACTAAAGGTTGCTTAAGACTGAGTCTAAGAAACGGAGCTTTGAACTTTACCTGCACTAAGTTCACAACCTGGCCTTGGCTCATAACGCGAGCTGGGCCCATTCTGTTCTCCACCGTACTAGCCGAAGAGGCACGTTCTCCGCGATCTCCTGAAAAAATGGCGATAAAACATGACATCACTGCTTGGAATAATTGGAGGAGTGGGGCGAAGTATTTCAGCAAAAAAGATTTCAATTATGCAATTCGCCTAACTTGTTTCGCCTAATTCATGCCCGTAGGAGGAATATACATACATCTAATCTCTCACCTCTGCTCGTGCTCTGCTCAGAATTGACAATTGGTGGCAGGGTTTTTGAGTGAACAGTCAATGGCACAATGGCGAAGGCCTTTGCGCTGCTTGCACTCATTACCTAAAAATTCGACCTGAGGATTTTTATCGGATGAATCTAGTCGTGTTTTATTACAATGACATTCATACTCTAGATGAACTTCTGAAGCGCATACATGATCTAGGGATTGATTTCCAGGTCGTTACCCACTCAAACCAGACAAGCTTCCCACGGTGGGTTGAATGGTAACAGACTAGTCTGAGAACAGCGTTGGCTTGCACATAAGCGATTAACGGAAGCCACTGGATGGGTCACATATCCATTCAAACGCCACTACGATGCCGAAAGGAAGTAAAATGAGGGAAGGAGGAGCACCCTAAAACGGGATTGATTGACGTCAAAAGATGTGAAGAGGACTGCAAGAAATAGTCCCCTTGATGTGTAGCCCTCTTCGAGCTCTATCATGAACAGATACCTAAGTGGGAATCCCACCTAACTCCGCTTAGAATTCAAATATTAATTAGTACCATATGATATAGGGTGTTAAGAATTCAAATATTAACTAGTACCATATGATATAGGGTGTCACTGTAACCAAGAAGAGTATGAGTGGGTTACTGTACAGAGAACTTGGCAGAAAACCACTCATACTCATCTTTGTTACAGTAACCCTATATCGTAAGGTACTAGTCAATATTTGAATTAACTTTATCTGCTTATATGGATAGCTATGAGAGTTTATACTTCTCTGAAGGTTGATAACAGGGGAGGGGGGGGGGGGGGGGGGGTTTAAGCCGCTGCCTTGTGAACAGAGAGAGAGATACCTATTCCTCTATGCATATACTAACTATGATACCAGACGATCGTCAACTTACCAGTTGAGGTGATGTGTTGGGAGTAAAGTGAAAATTATCCTGAAGATCACTGTTCTGAGGGAATTGGTAAGCCCCGTTGCTTTCAGTTGAACTTGGCGGCTCTGGCGATTCTTCTCTATCACGATCAGCCTCTATACGGGAAGCATCGCCACCACCGGAAGAGGACACCTGTAAGGGAAAAATATAAGACCATGAACCAGTGTGAGGATGATAAAGTTTATATATTAATAAATAACATAATCAGCCCCATTTCAGAACAGTTAGCATAAGCATTTGAAAACCCCTTTGGTTCCCACCCACGACCGGAGTGAGTATTTTCAAAAGGTGGCTCAATCAAAAAAAGAAATTCTCAGCTTACTCTAACAGTCGGACGTGAATACACAATTCAACCGAGTAAAACATACTTGCTACGAGTAATTCTTCTCAATTAGCGTCACAGGGACGATGGAAGCAGAATGGTGGCAAAAAGTTCAGCTACGGACTGCCTTCATAGCTGGAGCTAAACTCAATCCGTTCATGACTGACCATGAAATTCACCTCTCTGGCGCTCTTAGGTACCATGTTCATTTGTCTTGAACTTTCGAATCCAGAACAAATGCGTGGCGCAAACGAGATGGATGGGTGCAGGGGCCCCACCCTTATTTCTTATGCTCAGCACAACCGGTTCCCTTCAACTATCTGTCAATGTTGATAAAAAATCAAACCGTCAAGTCTAACATTGAGAAGTGTGTGACTGGCATGAGCCTCAAATTTCCGATCACTGAACCTCTAGCAGTTCCGATTTTTTCCGTAGAACGGAAATTGGTTCATGCCCCCGCGTGACAAGTTTTCTTTTAGTTTATGAATGATGTCCACAGACAGATTGTTAGGGTACTTTGGATGTTGACGCAGTAGCAATTCCGAAGGAATCAAAAATTACTACATTCACCCACCCACAGCTGTTCACCGACACAACAATTTTTGCAAAATATGGTGTTTTAGGGTACATTCTGCTAAAACCAACTGTGACTAGAACAGGTCTGACTCAGGCAACCGTTCACCAATCGGGATAGTTGGCGTTCTTAAATAATTCATATTTGGATTAAATGTGTGCAGGAGGTGTAGTAGAAAACGGTGCACTCTATCACACACGTGGTCTGCGGATCGAATCCTGGGTGAACACCAGCTTGGGTCGATCAAGCCTCGCTAGGTTAATGGTATCGGACTTGTTTTGGATGATAACTTTGACTTGTACATCGGCTCCCCACCGCAAGTTATTGTATAGGCCGAATATCCATTCAAAACGCCACTACGATTCCGAATGGAAGTCGAATGCGGGAGCATTCCAAGTGCGAGACTGTTCGATTCTTTATTTGGGCGCACTCAAGGTCTGTGAGCACCTGTCGGCCTACAAATCAAGATATTATCCTTTCACGGTATTCGGTACCAAATGGTTGAATCTGAAAGCCTATGTTGACCTATACGACAACAGATTCAACCATAAAATTCCATCCACCTACTTTGATGTGGCCAGCTTACCAGCTTCTCTTCTAACTCACCGCTCGACCCACCTTCTTCTCCCGAATGCATACTTATGGAACTACTTAGTTTTCTAAAGCGTTCCTTTCCTTGTCCGACATCTTTACCATTACCATTTAATGAATAAATTGAACCCTAGACTTCATCCGTCAAAGCCAAACGCAAAGGCAGCAACTTCAACTCAAGATATTAGAAGAAGGAAGGGAAAAAGTCAAATTATGAGCTATGTATTTAATATGCTTCCATCTCGGGTGCCAACCAAAGTGATTTTCACATTGAGTCCACTTTGGTGGATTAAACAATCGCTAGAAGATAGCAGAATGAGGGACAAAAGCATGGCGTACCCCGAGCAGATAGGAAGAAAAACAACAACAACGAGTGAGGAAGTAAAAAACAACAACAACAGTAACAAGCGTCTTTCAAATTAAATCCTAAACTACTGCTTGTTTACGACTATAGCAGACAACACGGGAAGCAATTTCCATGGTTTGCTGCTAATTTCTTCCTTCCTCATTTCCTAGCTCCTCAGGGAGGAATCGCACCAATCTTTACAGTAACCCGTAATCCAGCGAATTCATAAATAATCAAAAGGATTGAATCGATAGCAGTAGAGTTTAAATACCTGATATCCAAAATACTTCAGGATGTCAGCCTTACACATTGGACACGTCCGGTGCTCCAAGAGCCATGGGTCTATACAGGATTTGTGATAGACATGCCTAAAATAACAAAAATGAGAACATACTGTAAGATCTGATCATTTATGACGTTGAAGGATTACTGTAATTAAACTTTGGTAGTGGTACTCAACAGTAATAACAGTAAAAGGAATGAAAATATACTGTAGGATAAGATCATTTATGACAGTAGGGGGGTTACTGTAATCAATCTTGGCATTGATGCTCAACACCAATGTAAGGATGGCACCTCTCCATCTCTGCTCTTACTTTTCATTACTTCATTAATAACTTTCCATCTAGCCCTATAGATCTCGGAAAAAGTTTCAGAATGGCTAGTTGTACTTGGGATAGAATGCATACCAATGAGATAGTCATTTTCAAATGATGTCATTTTGTNTTACTGTAATCAATCTTGGCATTGATGCTCAACACCAACGGAAAGATAGCACCTCTCTCCGCCTCTGTTCTTACTTTTCATTACTTCATTAATAACTTCCATCTAGCCCTATACATCTCGGAGAAAAGTTTCAGAATGGCTAGTTGTACTTGGGATAGAATGCATACCAATGAGATAGTCATTTTCAAATGATGTCATTTTGTTGTTAGCTAAGCATTGGCATAATTAACTTAAACTTCAGTTGAACATGGCTATGTTTTGTATCTGCCCACTTCTCAAACGAATTTTTTCTATTATATTACCGTAATACTTTCGAGAAATCGAAGAAGTTGAGTAACATCGTCAGCTATGGCCACTTGAGCTATCTGAGTTCTCAGAAGACAATATCTGTTTTCCAGTTTTTTTTTCACGGAATTCTTGGATCGCAAGGAAAAGGACGGTGTTCACTTGTCGTCTGTCCTATCTCCTATCCTTTCTCTTTAGAAGCTCATAGCTAATATCCTGATGGTCCCTAAGATAGTGAGCTTCAACCGAAAGTGTTTCTTCTAATTTTTGCCAGGGTGTCCTATAAGATTCGCAAATCGTACTCCATAAAAAGGCTTCCGATCCTTAGCGAGTAGAGGTGAGTCCCGTTTTGAAAAGTCCCTGAGAACGTGATGAGCAGCTCTGTTTCGTTGTTTTTTCCTCGTGTTCACAATGTCAATGGAGCGGAACTACACGCAGCAGGCAAACACGGCATGTTTTCAGTTGGCCATCGAATATGTCGTCGTCGGGAAACGAAATGAGAATGAGAAGCCTTGAAACGGCACAATTAGACGGAAGGTTTCATGGGCTGACTGACACGCACACGCCATAGTTAACAGCCTCTCAGTCCTGACGGCTTGTTCATGCGGTAAACAACCGTAAGAAAATGTCGATAGAAGCAACGGGCTTTGCCTGGAGGATCTTTATACGACTTTGCGCCAGATCACTAAATTCCCTCTAAATATCGTGAATGCATTTGGATGATGTTTATCCTATACACTGATTCCCGACAAATGGTCAACATTAAAGCCCATGACATTATCGCACAGGCAATTCAGTGCTGAATGTCGAACTCCTCCTCAAGAGCCACCATTAGGGCAGCCCACAACCCGATCCTGCGCCTGTGAGACTCTGTTGCAGCAACTGCACCCATTACGCCAAGAATCTAACTAAAACTTCACATTCTCATCAAAGTTCTTTGGTAGTATATCCTACTGAGCCATTCCCTCTCGGGGGTTAAATCCTTCTGATAGGGAACAACTGAGGTGCACAAAGGGTTTGTTAAAATCATAGTGTTTGGAATGAACAAAAGGCTCTCACAGAATAAATTATTCCCCTGACTCCTTTGTGGGCTGACTTCCTGGTCTGAAGGCGAACAAGTATTCAGCCGTAAACAAAGTAACAAAAAGGAATCAATGTACTCAGGGCAGACGGGGCGGGTCATAAACTGAACGTAAAAATGAATACGCCATGAATCAAAACCCCAAATCGACTGTATTGGTCTTGATTAGCGGAAATAAAGTTCCGCAAAAACCACTCGAAAAAGAATGAAAACCCCTGAGATAGTCTTCCCCAATTGATGTCATTATGTCCGTAACTAAGCAACAACATAATTCATTTTACGGCCATGTTTTGCTTCTATTATCCAGTAATTTCCTTAGTGAATTCTAGACTTGCTACCGTAATATTTTAAGGGAGTTGGAAAAGAAGATGGGTGAAGTTGGGAGCTATCGGATGAGGTGAAATAAGCGGCATGAGTTCCCAGAAGGCAAGGTCTATATCTAACCTCCTTACCCGAGCTATCCTAATCGTGAAAGAAAACGAAAGAATGGCAAAAAGGGAGTGAGAACCGTCTGGCTCCATTTTCTTAGAGAAAGCAAAGTTACCAATTTTACTAGCAAGAATAGAGTGGATGAGTTACCAAAAAAAGGAAGTGGAAGAATGAATGACAACAAAAATCAAAGCGGTTAAGTCAGGGGGACCGCTATCTGATGAAAAATTCAGGCTCGAAAATTTCTAAGATAAGTTTTTTTGAACCGCATAAACAAGAAATCGCCTTCGAATGTATGAAACCCCCACAACATCCTTTCATAGTAATTATTTTCGAAGAATTACATACGTCGCAGGACGTCATGGGAAAACACCTTTCCGAAGAGCTTAATGAGCGACTCTATAGCTCCGATGGAGCGAGGTGATCAAAAATCATTCAAGACAGAGAAGTTTGTCCGAAAAGGTTCAGTCCCATTCTATTTAAAGAAATAAAAATAAAATCAGACGGCAAGAAAACAGAGAAGGAAGAAGATAGGAAAGTCCTTGGGCGTCGATAGACCCCGTCTGTGGGATGCGCCCCGCGTTCGACTTCCACTTGGAATCCTAGTGACGTATGGACGTATGTGGCCTATGCAACGACTTGCCGTGGTCAGCCGATGGACAGGACATTGCTTTTATTCTCCCAGACGAGTGCAATGCCAATAAACCGACCCGAAGAGATAGAATACTTGTTGGTATAGGCCTATGATTTAATCCCTGGCTCATGCATTTGTGATATTGCGCCATTTGCCAATACACTACCTTCGAGCACATAGAAAAACGTAGAAGCTAATCTATCCTACGCAAGCTCGAAGGAAAAAGTTTTTAGAAATTCACGACGACAGAGGCTGAACACGATCATTCGTGGCTCACAAAGGGATAATCCTTGTTTTTGGCTCCCGGAATAACGACAAGGAAACTGAGGAGGATCTATAGTGCTTGCATAGCGCCTAGCCAATACATCCCTTCACAGTAATGTATTTTTTAATGATGACATCATCGAGATACTTACGCAAGCTATGTAAAATTGACTTTGACGTAATGACTGTGTTTCTTCGAAAAATCTCAGAGCAACGGGTAGTCAATTTCCCGAAACACCCGAAGCGATGAAACTTGGAAAAGTGCATGGGGATGACGTCAATGGCCCGAATGAGTTCATCAAACCAATCATCCAAATTGATCGCCTCGGCTAATCGGCAACGGATAATGAGTGGCCGCAGGTGGGCGATTATCTCGGGCGCATCACGTTGCCAGCTTTTCGAAGAAATCCCATGAGGAATGAACCCAATTTGTATAAAGGGTAATAAGTCATTTTGGGAAATGAGATAACCTAAAATCAGATTTTCCTCGTCTCGTATTCGAACACTAACACGAGCACGATTAAGCTCAGAAAAGGGTATGACGATGATGTCACTGACCCGAAGGGGCTCGGGGACATGCCTGTCCTTTTGTTGACCGAAAATAAACTTTGAAATAACGAGTAACTTCAACAAGGTTTGGGTCAATCTGAGCCAGAAATTAGGTTTCTGACTCATTTATGACCCACAAGAGTGCAAGCGAAGTCTTGGTAGGTTCCAAACAGTCCATGATAGTAACGTCGCTACCTAAGGAACCTGGATGTCCCTGCCAACGGATTATCGCATCAGGTCGACGAACTTGTGGAATGGGACCGACAGAACTTCAACAAAGTTTTCCCGTTCTCAACTTACAAAGGAGTGGGTATTATACTACCAGCAAAAGATAATTAGCCGAACAGGCCTGAATTAATGTCGTTCAGTCTTGAAAAGGGGCAGTCGTGTTTCAAAGGCCAAAGGACAAAACCTCGCCATTGAAATTCTGTCAGTCGAGAAAATCGAGTAGGGAGGGCCATTTTTGAGGCAGATCGACCCTTGCTCGTCCCCTTCGAAGCATTCGCATACTCACACTGATTGTAGGATCACTGCATATATTGGAGATGCTTCTAATCTTCTACGGGTTTCGTGCGGGCATACGCATTCACGGCATGATACATGGGGATTAGGGCGTTAACATAACAATTACGGTAGCCCCACATGTTCTCGATATGTGTGTGTTCCTCCAACAATATGATCACGAAAATAACTGAAAGAATTTGCCTTACTACTGTTTTCTGGCAGCGCAAAGTCGTCAATTGGTAGCAATGGTGGATGGCCTAGTTGTTAAGGATTGTTCAGAACGTGCATTACTACCGCTTTCGCGCCACTGGATATGGTTAGGATATTCACGGTCAGGTACTTTCGATGATTCGGGTCTTTACGGATTGCAGTAATTTCAGTAACGAGAACTACGAATGCAATGGGAGCATATTAAATACCAAGGTGGGTAATCCGATTTGCAACGGACTTTCGACGACGAACTAAGGGATTAGAATCTTTGGAGGTCTCTCTGAAGCCTAGATCAAGATGATACAATTTTTATTCGGCTAACATTTCGGCCAGTCGCCTTCGTCAGAGCCTGGAAGCCAAGGATCAGAATCTGATCAAAATTCTACCGGAAATCGCTGTTTTTCAGGAAAATGACTTTCGATTTTTTCACTGGTACGGTCACATCTATTGTCATTCGTGCAGTGGAGGTGATTTTGAATCCCCACTGGACTATAAGAAAAGGGTGAACCCGAAAATTTAGCAGAGTTTTCCCAGTTGCCCATCGACCTCGAGAGTCCCATTAACCAGGCTGTAAAAAGCTGGTTCGAATTCGATTCAAACGGGTGGAGGAGGATGGCACGAGGAACTCTCATAAAACACTCTGGCACGACTGACGAATACTTAAGATCCTGGAGAGAAAACAACCCCATAAATAAGTAAATAAACTGGTAGAAAAATTTTTCTTCGAAACTCTTCTCCCACTACTGTACCCACTTAAGCAGACTGCTGAATGTTATCGTACTCATCCTGACTACCCTGAAATTAAGGCAAAGCAATGCTATAAAGGTCACAAATCAATAAATCAATGGCAAGAGCAGAAAGCAATCGAAATAATACAGGAAAATATGATTTCCTGAGTTTACAGTGGGAGGTATCGATCAGTTTGCTGCTATGAACATGTGCTTCCTCTCTGGAAGCTCACTCTGAAACTGCTTTCTAGTACGGTACTACAGTATCCTTTTGAGGAAATCGTCATGGCTCCTACAATGCTTCACATACCATGACTTCCCTTCATGTTTTTCCCCACTCAATGCTCTTCTCTTGAGAAAGAATTGCTCCGGCAAATTGCACAATTCTGAGTCACGCAAACATAACAACTCGCTATGCATGGGATGTGACTATTGAGCAGAGGAGGAAGAGGAGGAGGAGGCGCTTCTAGGAAACAGAGAAGTAGTAATTACCGGCAAGGGAGCGTTCGCACGACGTCACCCGTTTGATAGGGATCGATGCAGACGGCGCAGTCGATGTCAAGCTCGGGATCTCCTACTTTCAAACATCGTGTTGGAATTCGCATCAGAGCTTTTCGTGCCGCATTGAAGAGCCTGAAATAAAGGAGAAAATGTAATTGGGGACAAATCACTGCGAATACTTACAATTAAGGGGAAGAAGAACCATCTTTGGATACCACCACCGCATGTTTCACACCCGCCTGTACAGAGCAGGTGATATAGTGGGTAAACTACATACATTAAAAACGAGTGATAACAAGAGGTAGCAGTTGATAAGGTATGATAATGAAGGTTGAAAAAAAAACTTTAAAATTATAACACTTTCGCCTTGTCTCCAGAGTAACAACATCTGGGAATATGTTGTACGATGATGTTATCATACATTTCGTATTATAGATACTTGTTGGAGCAGTTTTTGTAAAAGATGATAAAGAAGTTTAGAGTAGGAGCATTGAATTTATTCTCTATTTCGCCCGTATATGAGATGGGAAGTGATATATTGAATTGAAAGGGGAATGACAAAATGATATTCAAAGATAATCATTGAGAGCGTTAGGCGAAGCAGCGAATATCCCACGGAAGGCCAGCTTCGTTGATAGTGGAGGAGCCTTTTTACACGCTTGCAAAGATGCGCCACGCACTCAACTTCTATTCGGAACTGACGGGCCACTTCACTTCCTAACTGATCCCATCTCACAAGGTCCAAGAATGCTCAAGTCAGCAATTGTATCCCACTAGCCAAACTCGATATCCTTCAAACAAAGATTGAAATGAAGGATTTTTCAGCTCGGTTAGGGTACGATACACAACGACTTAATCTTTGCAATACATTCGTTTCTGATACAAACTGATTCCGGGAGACGGCCTTAATTACTTGTAGCTGGACGGAATGGCGAAGGGACACACATTCAGATTCCCCTCTCAAGCTGTTTCTGACAGCTAACCAAGGTGCTAGAGTCTCCTAATGAGCGCGAATCCATTGTGGTTCATTCTAGAGCATGAAGAAAGTTATCGACTTGGAACAGATTCATAAACATTCCCAAGTTTTGCGAGTAAAACCTTTACGTTAGAAGACTAGCGTTCTCTTTACTCGAGTACATTTCTGGGCAGCCTGTTCGATTCATCTCTTGACAGAGTTCCAAACAGAAGAATTCCCAAGGCGCAAATATATATTACAGCCCTCTTGCTTGCCACAAGTCCAGAAGGACTTGGACAAACCAAGAAACTTATTGAATCCATAGATGCGCAACCTAATTACTCGTACTGCCCTCAAATGTCCCTACCATTAGTAAGAAAATTTAGAATATTATTTGCTTAGGTAGAAGGGTTGACCAAAAAAATGCGGCACGGGGTTTGAACAGCAGTCAGGTAATTTTTATGATGTATTCCTCTGATTCAATAACCTCGGCTGAAGTACATACCACCTGAGTCACCGATAGTAATAATGAATAGATGAATACGGTTTAATTACCGTATCCTAATGATAGAGTTCCTTAGAAAATACCGTATTCGTATAATGGGCTTTCTAATATAATTTAAAGAGTATCAACACTTGTGGCTTTGGATTACTCTGAAATTAAGGATGAACGATTAGCGAAAGAAAAAGTAAATAGCCAGGTATTCGAGGCCCGAAAAACCGAAAAACCAAACATCAAAAACCCAAACGACGTATTTCCTTTCGACAATCTTTCAAGGGAAACATATCACTTTTCGGAAATCTTCGCGAAGCTAATATTGAGTAGAACAATTAACATTAACAATTAACAACAGTAACATTTTAAACTTGTATTTGCAAATTTTTCAGGAACCACCGAATCAAATCAACTTTCTTATAAAACAAGTCTCCAAGAACTTTTTGTTTCGGCCGTTGAAGTATCTATTTATTTGAGTATATTTTGATTGGATTGTTAACGAAATTAGGAAAATTCGGTGAATTCCTTTTATTCTTTTGGGCAGAAGTCATTCAGTAGGAAGCGGCGTCGCTCTCATATTAGTAGTCCGGGATACCTCTTGGGCTCGCTGAGTACTGTACTTGTATAAAACTACTTTTATACAAGTAAAGTACTCAGCAAGTATTTTAACAGGCTTGTACCCACTCCAATGTTTCTAAAGGTCTGAATTAAATTCGAATGCTCGTCGCGTTCTATATAAAGGATAAAGGATAAAGTTTTTGGCGTTAATCAATCCCGTCTGAGGGATGCGCCCCACATTCAACTTCCATTCAGAATCGTAGTGGCGCAGTGAACGCGTATGTGGCCTATAGCATGACTTGCGGTGGCCAGCCGATGAACAAGTCAGTGCTTTTATCCTCTCAGACGAGTNAACCCATGACCGTGCGTGTGATATAGTGCGCCAGTCGCCACTGCACCACCTCCGCCCACACATTCTATATAGGGTATAGAATGTGATTAGGACGTAAGCTGATCATTTGTTCTTACCAGCAACAGGTTCAAATGCCTGGCTAAGATCGAAGGGGTGTAAAATTCATTTTCATGGATCATTTCAAAACAATCTTATGCCCCGAGACATAAACAATTAAGCTGCTGACGTTGACGAACTCCTTTTTGTTTTGAGTTCCTAATTGGCCTACTACTTCGCTCAAACTAGGGAAGACCTTTAAGTGTGTGGGTGAGGAGAAGAGGACGTTTGAGAAGGGTTATGTGAGAGCAATCCGGAACAAAACTCGTAGTCATTTCCTTTTGGGAAAGGATCTTTTGTAGTATTACTTCTCCTGTCACTCCGTTACGCCCCAATATACTGCATTAACACTACATTCAAAAGAACAGAGCCGATGAAAGGAAGCCTTAAGTGGATCCAAAAATGGTTGACGCTTACCTTCGTTGCAGTCGATCCTTTGCGTGAGCATAACGGAATCGTTGTACGTAGTAGAAAACAAGCCACGCTAATGATATGACCATTAAAATGATAAACGAGATCGATACGAACAGCACAGATGTCTTCGAGAAACTCCGAAGGGCATCCGTCGAACCATCCCCGGAATCGATCGAGGATACCTGAATGGGGATGGTCAATTGGAAAAATTCGCTTCACAACTCAAAACAATGCAGGTGTATTTCAACGGATATGCGAGTTTTTCATCAAAAAACTTTTAAAAATGAGAAAAATTTTTAAAAAATTGTAATTAACTTCCGATTCAGATTGTCTTTGGCTTGCTTTTGCCAGTATTAGCTCTTTTCTTCAAATGTTCTGGTTTAGTCTCGACTGGTAGGTAAGTACAACAAAGGGAAACTGCCTCTAACCGAATCAACTCAATCACATCTTCTCTCCCCATATTCGAAATGACACCACAAAATGTAGTTCGTGAGGCCCGAAAAAATCGAAAAAATGACGCCATTCAGCCCCCTNTTTAGTCTCGACTGGTAGGTAAGTACAACAAAGGGAAACTGCCTCTAATCGAGTCAACTCAATCGCCTTCTCTCCCCATATTCGAAATGACACCACAAAATGCAGTTCGTGAGGCCCGAAAAAATCGAAAAAATGACGCCATTCAGCCCCCTCGGGGATAATGTATCATTTGATGGGCGAACCCAAGCACAACTTACCCCATCTAACTCAAACACAAGTTTTCGACGATTATTCACTTCGCCCTACAGATCGGCTACCGAATCAGTAAGGCTAATTACCAAATCTAGAGGTCTACGAAGCAGTCTTTTCCAGGTACTTACGCTGGCACTCGTCCCGATGACTCTATTTCCAGCTTATATCACGCTCTTCATAAAAGAAATCTCAGCAACTAACATCAAATGATTGGTAAACCACTGGCGAGCAACTCATTTCAACGTGGGCGGATTAATTAGGGCTTATGGGGCTGCTCAAAGATTAGCTGGGCTCGTCATAAAATCAGTTCACGTTGTGAGAACTCTGAAGACTCAGTCATATAAGCCTCCTCGCCCGTCGATTTTAATGAGGAAAGAGACAAAGCTAGAAACTGGCTCGTAAATGAACAGCCTTTTTGTCACATATTTCTACTTAAGTACTCCGCACTTCGTTAGAAGTCTATTACACAATTGTATCACTGACTGAACTTACAGCAATTCATAGAATACGCCATTTTGATCATGCTTCGCCTCTATTAGGTGGAAGCTATCTAGAAAGAACTACTTGTTCGGATTACATTCTTTTTACCATTCCTACGAAAGCAGAGCTCAAAAATATCAAAAAGCACTGGTTTTGAAACTAATTACCCTAAAAACCGCTGGTTTTAGGTGATATGGAAAGTGAAGAAGTTCCAACGGATGTGGGCCTCACTGCGATTGGGAAATGCCAAGTCAGTCAAGAGAAAGTGAGAGCCCGAACATGACAACAACTGCAAAAAACTCCCTAGATTTGTCAGACATGGAGGAATTTTAAGTCGTGGGAAAATTCGGGATCGTTCAGGATTTGCGTGCGGGATTACTTATTGATCAATGCCCCCCCCCCCNTTGTCGAATAATTTTGTTTTCCTTCAAACTCTTCGAGAATCGAACTCGATAAGTTTAATATGTATTGACTAGGAAATGGACTGTAGGAAAGTTTCAGAACGACGATGTTGCTGGTATTCCTGTGGTTCTTTCACTGGTAATAAAACGGACCTTATGACACAGAATCCGAATCCCACATAAAGAATTGTTTCCGAAAATTTCGATAAGCTCACCATGGTTTGGGAAAACGCAGTAGAAATTAGATTGTTTGCAGTCCCTTCATAAACAATAAATAAAAACAAATGACTCAATAACAACTAACCGCTTCGGTCAGTGTGCACATGCCTTGCACAGCTGTGTTGCTGGTTTGAAACCATATGGCACTAAGTCCTGCTGGTGGCTGGTCCCTTGAGATCACCAACACACTGGTCGGCAAATTTTGAAGNNNNCTTGCACAGCTGTGTTGCTGGTTTGAAACCATATGGCACTAAGTCCTGCTGGTGGCTGGTCCCTTGAGATCACCAACACACTGGTCGGCAAATTTTGAAGTTTTGACAGGCACTTACGGCACTCGTTACATAGAAAATAAGTATTCGCCAAAGGGGTTCCTGAAAAAAAAGGATGCATTCAGAAGTAGGCTGATATTGGGAATGATCCCAAAAGCTACAAAACTGCTCGACCACAACTTGAACGTGCTCTTGTCTGGAACCCGAGTTTCAAACCCTCCTTTATGCCACCCATAACTACATGAAGAGGTTCTCGATGTTCGGGATGTTCTTTGGATACTTCGGAAGAACCCTATCGACTCGTTCAATTTAAGCCTATTCTTCAAAGATCTCTAAACCATCTCAGCCATTGGTAGGATCAGAAAAGATGATGGATGCCATACCAAACCTATAATTATTGACGAAGAGCGAATTACCCGGAAGCTAGAGCTGATCAATCACGCTCTGGACACGCCATGCACTTGGCTTTCAATTAGACTCGGATTTCTGTCAGATTACTATACACATTTGGCCAATGAAACGATTTGCAGGGACCAATCGATGCTTATGTTCTTTTAGACATGACTTCAAACATCCATCTAGCAGAAAGGTAGGCCTGAGCGATATCCGACCCGGAATTTGATACCCATACCACTTTGACGGCAACATGGCCACTCTCTCATGCTCAACCCCTTCAATCAACATTCGGTAGTGAGCGAAACAATTTTGAAAGGACTCGTGCAGGTGAAACTTTTGCAGACATGCCCATTGAACCAAAGAGTTTCTCAAGAATCAGTTGAACCATGCTAGTGCCATTTACAAGATTTAAATTTCTGAGAAAGTTACACGAAGCGCTCTATCCATGGGCCTATTCCCAACGGTTGTGTCTTTCGGGGGAGGTATCTACATGAAAAACAAACTTTTCCGGGAGTTCCTTCTGTTCCTAGAATTATTCATGGAGAACGGCGCTTGCAAATGGACGTCCCACTCCCACAAGAGCTGGAAAAAAACCTACATAGCCGATAGACACTTTGCGGGGTCTCTTAGTGATGGAATAGACAAGAGTGAATAGCAACGTGCACTAAAACATACCAGACACGAATGCAGTGGGGGATAGATTCTCATTTTCCTGAACGTCAATGAATGGATACGGTCAGGGTCGCCAAACTCCACCCACTTCCATTTACAGTACACTCAGTGGCCCTCAAGAGTTGCCCATTTCAAAACGTGGGAGTGGCATACCCAGCAGCTCAGGCAGCTTCAAAATCCTTCAGAATTTACTAGTTTCCTCAAAAAGTTATTCTCCAGGGAACCCGCTACCATTGACACATTCAGGATCTGCAGCACCATTGTATCGGTTTTCCACTGTCTTGTCATTCAATGTGCTCTCGGATTTCCAAAGCACTTTTCAAGCTTCAGAATAGCAGAGACTGAGCTCTTTCTAAGGGAGGTGTCCATGGCAATGCAAGTAACAACTTCTTTTTAAACCACAATCCAATAAAGAGCCGGGGAGCCGTGGCAACACAGCTGTTCAAATCCAATTTTCAGTCCGTTACGAACTAGCAAAAGAAAGGCTAGTTGGTTCCAGAACGCAAAGAAGGAAATGCAGATCACTTGAGAATGAAGAAATGAATAGATTTTGAATTAAAATCTGGTCAACCATCTTCAGAATGGGTTGGTAAAGAAATAAAGCCATCTCAGAAAAAAAGAAATGCAGGACTTGAGGGTCTAATCTCAAAACATGCTATAAAATTTGGGGATATGAAAGAGCACACTTCTAAATCGAAAATGAAAGTGGTTCCATATAAAGCCCTTTACAGGAGTTTTCATCAGCATTGGAGTATTTAGCCTCCACAAGCCCAGAAACATGAAAGCAGTAGATCTGTTCGGTGAAGTCTTGAACAGTTTCATGTTCATAGTTCTTCTGATTCCTCATAGATTACAACTGCATGGCGTATTCCGGGCTAACAATGCACCAGCCACATGACTACTAGGCAATTTTTTTTTCACAAGTACCCTATCACACCCTGAGAAACTTTCGCCGAGCTCCAGAGCTCCTTCCGCTGGTTATTTGTTCGTAGAATCAATAAACAGCCTGGGAAGGTC